GCGATGTGGGCAGGAAGTGGTTAGCGTGTGTGTGTTGTGTGCGCGCGTGCGCAAAGCTTCTGGGAGTGGGTCTGACCTGGCCCTGACCGCTCCTTGCATGGGACGACAAAGTCCTGTCCTTCCCCAAGCCCAGCTGGGACTAGCAGCTGAGCCTGGGTAGGAGCCACCAGCTGGGGCATCCCCAGCCCCTCCTTCCACGGAGATTTATCTCTCTGCCGGCTGCTCCGGGTGCACAAAATGATGTGCCTGCGCAGCTGGGGAGGGGCATGTGACCGCTCATGCAGCTTTCCTTTGCTTCTCCCATTAGAAGTAATTTTTCTGTGTGGGACATGAATTCTGAATACGCACAGTGGCACAGAATTCCCCCTGGAGTAATGACTTCAGTGGGAGTGGAAACAAGCCATTTATTTTTGTACAGATGTCCCCTTTTTTTATCAAATTTGAACATCTTGATTTAAATCCTACCAGGATTGTATTTTAATTAAAATCATATTTTTTCTCACATGATCAAAATCATATTTTTAATCCTTGTCTTTAGTATTAGGTGTTTAATAAAATATTTTAAACTCTTTGAAGAATCAAAATAAAAATATTTGATACTTAATTTGTTTTTCATTTGTTGTGGATTTTGAAATGAATTAAGGAATATAGAACATTGAGTTGGGGTGCTGTGTATTTGTGCCAGTCCTATTAGGTAAAATCAGAATTGCTCTACTGTGTGCGATAGGCACAATATTACTAACAGATAATGGAGTTTCTCCTTTGTCTGAAGTGTTAGGTGCCTGTTTGAAAGCAATAGGATATGAGTTCTAGTTCTGTTGCTGCCATGAAGTTCTGAGTTGTTAGTGACAACAGCTGTGACTTTTAGTTGACCATGAGGTTTGTTTTAGCACTTCGTTCTGTTGTCCTTATTTCATGTATAAAATTTTATGTCACTAGCAATGTTTTCCCACTGTACTTATGGATCATTATGGCCTCCCTCCTTTGGCTAATTTAACTCTATTAAAAAACCGTGGTTATTCGCTGACTATGCAACTTATTGACAAAAGACCTATTTAAAGTCCATTCAAGTCAGTGGAACTCTTTCCATTGACGTGTATAGATTTTAAATCAGACTCGGAGTTATAGACTGAGTTAAGACTTTCAGCTGCCTTTATAGTTTGAAAACATAGGCCTACATTGCATAAAAAAGTGTGCTTGCCTGTTTGTGGCATCCATTTGTAGTACATGCAGACGGATAGCTACATGTATAGATATTCAGTTACCCATTATGAGTGTATCCATATTGATGCATGTGTAAATTAGACTTAGATGCTAGTGTCTGAAAATTTGGCCCATAACATTAGCATTCTGCAGGGAGTCCTTTCAGTCACAAATTCTTAATTTCTCTTCTGTCAAATTATTAATTACATTTCAACCTTTAATTATCTTTAATGTTCAAAAATACTATATACTAATATTTAAACAACTTTTATAGTTAAAGAATCAAAACACATTATTCAATACAAAGTCTCATTTTCATGGAATTTTGCATGCATGCAGCTATTGGTACGTACAGTGGAACCTACTTAAGATGTTATTATTGTTATTAATCATTCATATAGCACCATAAATGTACAAAGCACAGTGCCATGTGCTTTATAGTCCCTATATTTATTTTTTATTAATTTTTTTAGTCATTCACAATATGTTTCTGTTCCATTAATGAAAGAGACTGTATGATCCCTTAGATGGCCAGAATAATATTTTTTGAAATTCCCATGAACAGTAAAACAGAAATGTATTTCAATAGTAGTGAGTTAAATTCTCTCATGGTCAGATCTTGAATGGATATTCAAAAAGTTCTTTGTCTATAACTGTCATTAATTGTCAAAATCAGAAATATATTATTGACAATGGAGGGTAATAGAGGCAACTTATTCATCTCAGATAGTGATCAGGATGTGATAGAACTGGAGGAAAAGAGATAAAGCACTCCTCTTGTGGTGCAAGCCCTCAAAGTGTGAGGAAAGAGAGGGGAAAAAAAAGACCAAGGAAAAAAATTGCCCTTTAAAAACCCGAAAACAAACTAAGAAACAAAATATTATTCAAATCACTTGTACATGATTTTTTCTTAAAAAGCATCTTTTGTAGAAGCTGAGAACTGGGAGAAAGCTCACATTGATTTCTAATGACCTGAAACTACTCCTTAAGTCTTTTTTAGCAATATCTAAAAGAACAGTGACAAACTCCTTTAGATAGTTTTTAAATGGTATATAGTCATTAAAATTTCAGGAACCTACACAGGATTTAGAGTATGTACAGCACTTTATGATTGTGCAGAATTCAGGTTAAATAAAGAAACACAAGAAAGGGGGCTCGATCCTGCACCAACTGACATTAATGAAATTTTGCTATTGAGTACAGTGGAAGCAGGAATGAGCCCATACTTTGTTAAACGGTGTGCATTATTTTGGGAAATAATAGATATATTTATGAGTGAAATATTTCTGTTTTAAATAGGGGTGACAATTTTCGCTTCAAAGTATTTCATGAGTCAGAAAGGTTCCAGACTTTTTCCTTTTAGAAATCTGATCTGATGGTTACGTTTGAAACCATTCCTGCAGCAAGATTCATAAATAATAAATATTATCTCTTATTAATCCATATTTTAGCTTAACTCTGGCTCATAGCAAGCTACTTCCTCAGGGAATGGAGAATTCTTTACACGGGAAGGTGATGAGCCACAGCCCCCAAGGAATTAAATTGTGAAAACAATCTTGGTTTCGTACATGCTAATATAGATCTGTTATTCCCCTTCCACATTTATCACAACACATTTTAAATTGTGGCTGATCTTTTGTGCAAATAGCTGTCTTATTAGACATTGCGGCTGTATGTGCTAATGTCTCTATGGGTTTCTCGGGAGTTTGCTATCTAACCATCAAAGCAGTAGAAATGAATGATGATTACTGCATGGCTTTGAAGAACAAAGAAAAGTCACAGCATTTTAGAGGTTCTAGATGCCTGAGTCAGTGACAGTTTGAACCACACAGATGAACAGGAATGTCTCTGTGGCTCATATTAAGTAGGCCAAATATATATTTTAACTACTGGGAAATAATTTTTCTGCACTCTTGTGTTTTATTGGCAGTACTAAAACTGCAAGCTTCTTTCACAGCTAACATTTTGTTACAAAACATTACTAGGCTATTGAAAATGCAAAAGGCAAGTCAAACATTGTTTCTAACAGTGGAATAAAGTAAACCAAAAACTAGATTTTTGCTGCATAAAATTTTGTATTATCTACTTTGTTAGTTGAAATATTAACTTTATTTTCCATTACTGTTGCCATGGTGTAAGCTGGGTTATGATTTTACAGGCAATAGGGGCAAGGGACTGAAAAAAAAAACAAATGTAATACTTTTCCCGTAGTTTCATTCAGCTTAGTATATGCTATAGATACCTAAATGTGGGTTATTTACTGAGTTAAATGTACTTAGTATATGAAAATCTTCAGTGATATTAATTTTGACCTGCATTAAAAGTGCAGCAATGTTAATTTGTATATTTCTGTTCCTCTTGAACACATTTAAAGTATTCACTGATTTTGAAGACTCAGTTTCATTCTAAATCTTCTGGGTCATACCTTTAAGATATAGGGCCTGTTTCTACTGTTAAAGGCAGTAGAAATTTTGCCATTGGCCAAATTCTTCAGTTATTTACATGAGTTTAAATCTGGAGTAACTCCCCTTAAGTTAATGGAGTTACTCTGTATTTGCACTAATGTAATGGGTGCTGATTTCTGGCTAGTACTGTCAGCAAAAAAGCAGAATTGGGCCCCAAATGACCAAATGGACAAACAGTGAAAATAATTGCTGTATTGTTTGATGCATGAATAAGCCCCGGGGATAATTCCTGGGACTGTGCTTTGAACCTGGCTTGAAAACAGTTATGCCATTGACAAACTTGTCTTGGTGGTTTAATATATATTTTTTGCACATGGATTTAAAGCCAGATTTTGGTTTTTGGAATAGAGGGTGAAATTAATCCATTTCCAGCATCCCACTGCACCAGGTAAACCACGTGTTGTTACTTGGTGGAGAGAGAAACATACAGAGGGAGCAGCTGTATACAGCATCTTAGCACCTCTTATATAACACACAGCTGGTGTGTTTGGGATCATCTGGAAGGGTTATTGGAACCATGATTGTGTGGATCTAGTAGAGAAAAGTGATACCAACATGTGAAGAAGCTGTGATTATTAGTGGGAATAGCAGCCTCAGAGGGACTGTGTGCAGCTCCCCAGCCTGCATGCAAGTTGGGAGGTAGATTCTAATCTGCTCCAGTCTATTTGGAGTTCCCTATACAAAAGGTTGATTAATTAGACTTGGAAGGTAATGGGTGAACTTCATCCTTGCTGTTTTAATTTTAGAACATCTGTAAGTTTTGATGCATTACTCTTAAAGTTTAAAAAATAATGTTAATAGAGAGAGAGTGCATTTAGATTCTGGAGACCTGAGTTAGGTTGTAAATTTGTAGTCCCCATTTGTGCACATCCCAATTACTACACATGTATAATATGATCTGACTTGTCATCTCTGGTCAAGAGAAACCTGGAATTGGAATAGCAAGTGTGAGGACTAAGGTACCTCAGTTCTGGACTGAGCTGCAATCCAGGAAAATCCATGCAGTTCCCTCTCCAGAATTTTCTCTGAATTCATCTGTTTATTCCCTGCATTGGAAGAAATGAGTTAGACCCACACTTCTTGCTGATCCCCAAACACGTGCGTGGATCTTGGCTATCATCCTGGGATAGAGGGCCATTCATGTGGAGTCCTGGCATTTCTGCAGTAGCTCTGCATCCCCTGGTGTGGCTCTCTGACAGCATGGCACCGTCAAGGCTCCCCAATGACTGTTCTTGAGACTCCCCTTTAAGAGCAAGGAGAATTAATATAAGAAATATAGGAAAATTAATACAGGCTCTGACAGTATTTATTCTCCTCTGGTTTTGCTGCTAGGTGAAGTTGGAGGACAATCAAAGTGACTCCACCTACTATCCACCCTTTCCTCACTTGGCGATTCCTAGAACTATGGAGAGGCTTCTCTGGGTGGTAGGAGAATGGGGCACAGCTTCTGTGAAGGCAAGCAGACTCCCCCTTCTACTTTGGATGGGGGAGGTAAGTGCACGGGAGGCCTCTTCATGTGGATCTCACAAGCACAGTCTGGCCCTATATCTGTATGAGCCTGCACATTGTCTTCTCTTTTACTAGCTTATATTCTTGGGCACCCAGATTCTGTGGGGATGGGCATAGTAGAAATCTGAATAATAGCAGACTTTAAGTTCAGTCAGTGATTTATCGAAGAAAAATAGTTATACTAAAAGTGATTTCAACTATACCAAGGTTCATATTGGATGGCAGCTTGTTTTGTTATAATTTCTTATACTGTGTTTATTTTATTGTTCAAACTAATGAGTTCTGTAATATTAATAAACCAAATCATAGAAAAAGAGTACTTTTAGAATTCATCTTATAGTGTTTGTAATATTGATGATTAGTTCCACTATTTTGTTGTTGTTCTTTGAATGATTGTACATGAACATTCTACTGTAGGTGTATGTGTGCTCCAGTGCACAGTTGTTGGATAATTTTTTCCCTTAATGGTACACATCAGCTGGCATGAGCGCCTTGCGCTGCCTAATGTATTACATGCAGGCATAAAGGGCAGAGCCACCCCAAGTTCCTTCCTACCCCCAAGACAGTTGTTGAAGCTCCCATTTTTATCTCTTCAAGTCCCTTCTTTTTGTTGTAAATAGATAGTAGTATCTATCTATTTTTGTTAATGGTCTGTAGTTTAGTTAGTGTAGTTTAGGTAGTGTAGCTTTATTTAGTAGTTTAAAAGTTTGTCACCGATTCCCAATTTGGTCCTACTCCAAGAGCTACGCTGTGCTCTCCAGGCTTCAAAGCTTGCCACTCTTGTGGCAAACCACTGCCAATTAGTGACCAATTAGTGACCCAGCTGCTTTAAGTGCTTGGGGGAGGCCCACATGAGTGACAGATGCAGAATCTGTAAGGGTTTTAAGCCCTGATCCAAAAAGGACAGGGCAGCCAGGTTTAAGTACATGTTGTTGATATCAACACTCTGCCTTCCATTGAACCATCCACCCCACTCTGGGTGCTGAGCTCATTGGTCAACTGTGTTCCTCCGGTCTTGCTGGTACCAATAGGTCAGTCAGTTTTGTTGGTGCCAAAGAAGAGTTACCGCAAGTCAAACTTGGTACCAGGTACCTCAAGAGCAGAGACAAAGCAGTCAAAGGACTTGGGGGCGTGCTCTAAAAGGAGGCACTCTGGTGCATACATCAAAACAGGGAGTTCATTGATTCCAGAGCCAACTACAGGCCTGTTGAGATTAACTCCTGAAGTGCCATCAGCGTTATCACCTCAGACTTCGGTACAACAGGACCAGAACACTTTCCCGGTACTGTTTACTCCCAAAGCATTTTCAGTTGTGAGAGGGTTGTTGAATCTCTCAGTACCACTTTCGCTGGCAATGCAAGAGTGTTGCCTGGCGCCCAAGGTACCAACACTCATTCCTTCACCTCTGCACCATGTGGGAACATGGGATGCAGCAGTTAGTGTTCCGTTCAAAATGGTACCGTTGAGGGGGAAGTCGCAATGATCTCGGCAGCACCTCCTTCTCCAGATTCTGCGCTTACCTCTCCAGTATCGATAGCTCCTCCTTTGTTGACATTTCTTCTCCCTTGGATTCTGAAGTGAGTTCCTATGTGTCTTAGCCTAGACATATCCACCAACCTGCATCCAGTACCTGGATTCAGCCTCAATTCCAGCATGATGCTTACTGAAAGGATCCTTGGGCCTCACTAGAAGAGACGTCCACTACCACTCTGTGCCTCTGGCTGCATTCTTCAAGACCTTACTTTGATGTGTTTGCCAAGAGCAGATACCAGTTCTAAGAGTGTCTTCTTTCCCTTCTCCAATTTTTGCAAACCACTCACAAAATTTGTTTGGGCTCACTTCACAATAGATTGGTAGGTTTTTAACATGGTGGAAGTGCAGTAATCCCTTCCCTGTCCCTTTTCAGGGACCTCTCTCATGAAGCCATGTTGTTGTGCGAGACATTTTTTGGCCCATGTTAGATGAACTCGGCCTGCTGATCAACATGGAGAAGTCCATCCTATCTCTGGTTCAAAAAACAAATTTATTGGAGTTACGTTTGAGAGAGCTATGGGGCTGGTTGGCCGAAGTGTATTTAATTGAGGAAGCATCATGGACATGATAGTTCACATTCCAAATTGAATCTTATTCTCCGTAGATTGGTGGATAGATCCTGCCAACATTTTCAAGGGAGTTCCCTTTGCCCGGCCTCAACAATCTCTCATCTTAGTCATGGATGCCTCGGACCAGCATACTAGTTGTGGAGGGGTGGGACTCATTTGGGTCTGCTACAGACACAAGATCTCTGGTCTTCCCAAGATCTCAGTCTGCATATAAATGTCAGGGAGTTGCAAGCTATCTGGTTAGCTTGCATGGCATTTCTTCCACAAATCAAAGGAAGGGGTTTGTTGGTTATGACCAATGATACAGTGGCCATGTTTTATGTAAAAAAACCAGGAGGAGCCTGATCTTCACTGATGTCATTTAGCAGTTCTACTTTGGGCCTTCTGCATTGCCAATTCCATAATCCTGAAAGGAGCTTACCTTCCACAGATCCACAATACATTGGCAGATCGCTTAAGCAGGCTGTTCATCAACCACTGCAAGTGGTCCCTTCACGCAGATGTAGCAAGGTCCATTTTCCAGCTTTGGGGAACTCCACAAGTGGATCTGTTTGCAACAAAAGACACCAAAAATGTCACCAGTTTTGCTCCCCAGTGGGCCACTGTCCAGGTTCATTGACAGATGTGTTTCTACTGTCGTGGTCAGATGAACTCGTGTATGCTTTTCTTCCCATTCCTCTCCTGCTCAAAGTTCTGTGCAAAGTTAAGCAGAACAAGTCTCATCTTATGCTGAGGGATGGCCCTGTCAACAATGGGGGGGATGGCCCTGTCCAACACTGTTTTTTAGAGCTATTGAACCTATCAGTTAGTCCCTCATTGTCATTCCTGCTACACATGGACTTGATTTTACAGAATCAGGGTCATCTCCTCCATCCCAATTTGCAGACCCTTCTCCTGATGACTCGGAGGCTTTGTGGCTAATGACTGCAGAGAAGCCCTGTTCTAGGGTTGTTCAAGAAGTGCTGCTAAATAGTAGAAAACCATCAGCTAGGAGTACTTACTTGGCTAAATGGAAGAAGTTCTCTGTCTGGGTCAGAATGAAAGGAGCTTTTCTGGTCTTAGTCCTGTATGTGCTGAACAGAAACAATCTTCTGCCCCTAAAACACTTAAGCATTGGCGATTAGTTCAATCAGAGTACATTTAGTGGCTTTCTTAGCCTTCCACCCGCCTGTTGATAACCATTCTCTTTTTTTAGCCTTATGTCTGTAAGATATTTAAAGGGCCTGGATAGACTGTTTTCACAGGTGCAAAATCTTGTTCCCCCACGGAGCTTGAATCTAGTCTTAGAAAAACTGATGGGTCGCCCCCTTTGAACCGCTAACGGCATTCTCCCTGTTGCACCTTTCTGTAAAGGTGGCATTTTTAGTGGCTGTTATGTCACTCGGGGGAATTGAGGGCATTGGTATTAGGTCCTCCATATACAATTTTTATACAGACAAAGTTTGCATTTGTCCCCACCCAAGGTTTTTTCTCAAGGTGGTTTCCAGTTTTCAAATTAACAAAGCAGTCTTCTTACCAACCTTCTTTCCAAAGCCTCATGATCATAAAGGTGAGGAGAGGCTTCATACTCTAAATATAAGAAAAGCTTTAGTTTTTTTTTATCTAGAACAGACTAAACCTTTTAGGTCTTCGACACAACTGTTCACAGCATGGGTGGACAGAATGAAGGTCTGTCCTGTATCCATCCAAAGAATCATATTTTGGATATCTACTTATGTTACCAGTTGGTGAATGTGAAGCCTCTGGATAGAGTGTTGGGTCATTTGACTAGATCCCAAGCAGCACCTGGCCCACGTTCCCATATTAGACATTTGCAAAGTGATAACCTGGTCGTCATGACATATGTTTGCCTCTCACTATGCTATCTCTTTGACAGTCTAGAGACATTGCTAAGTTTGGACAAGTTGTCCTGCAGTTGGACTGCTTTTGAGTCATCTGTGCTATCACTTGAAGAAGAAGAAATGGATACTAACTTTTCCATAACTGTTGTTCTTCAAGATGTGCACATGTCCATTCCATGACCTGCCCTTCTTCCCCTCTCCATTGGAGTCTTTCCGATAGGAAGAAGCTGTGGGAAGTCAGTGATGGTTCCACACTTTATGTCTGCACGAGGCAGCAGAGGGTGATCGTGCTGCCCCAATGGGTACCGCTAAGGGAAAAATTCTGACAGCTGTGCATTGGGGTAGGGTACACATACGCCTACAGCTGAGTAGACGTGTGCAACACATCTCAAAGAAAAACAGTTACAGAAAGGTTAGTAACCATTTCTACCATGTATAGGTTTATTCCTTTTGTATGTAATTTAGATAACTATTTTACTTGTGTAAAGACTTTCTATGACATGCATAGAATTCATTGGTTTGTTTAGATAATTCATTATTTAAAAATAATGTGATTCTTCCCCCCCCTTCCTTCCTTAGTGGTTTTGGACTCAAAAAGGATGGGTAGAAAGGATGCGTCTGCCGCAAGAATTCCTGTTGAGCAATACAGGAAACAAATAGGTAAGGAATACAGATTAATGTCTCCTTTTGGGATGCATCTTGTGTACAATGTTAAGGGCCAGCCCATTCAGCAAAGACTTCTGACAGAAGAAAAAATGTATAATTTTAAAAGAAAACTGCATTGTGACATTTCACTCCATATTCTTTATGAAAATATGCTTATGATGTGAATATGACATAACTGAGATGTACTTTATGCAAGATGGGTTTTGTAAGATATCATTGGAAAGGTTATAATTTACTGAATGTGATTATTCAATTTGTATGCCTGTATCATTTCTGTATCTGAAGTTAGGAATATTGACTATGTATCTGTATTTCAACTATGCTATTTTGGGTGATGCCCACTGCTAGCACTTCAGGTACAACAGTGGAAAAGCCAGACAGGGCTTGATGACCCATCAGCGAGGACAATGAACTGTGAAAAGGCTTGGCCTTCTTGCAGACGCTCCATACTGCCACTGACTCCTGGACGATGTGATACTACAGTGTCAGGTGGTCTTGTCACCTGATACTAAACGTTACCTGGGACTTCTTGTAACTTTCCACTGGAAGGGATTGGGGTGGGGGGTCAAGTTTGGGAACCAAAGGATTCCCACCTTATGTAGATCCTATTTAAGGTTGGGGAGGAAAGTAGATGGGACTGCTCCTCTCCATGGCCTGTCTGCCCAAGAAGAAAGACTGCTAAAGCCACCTGAAGTGAAGGCAAGGGGGGGAGTCCAGACTGATGCAGGGGTCCAGTCTGAAAAGGAATATAACTGGAACTCCAATTTACATTTGGTAACCTGTTTTTTTAAGTATATTGAGCTTAGCTTGCATATTTTGCTTTATTTGGTCAGTAATCTGCTTTGTTCTGTCTGTTATATCTTATATTCACTTAAAATTCACCTTTTATAGTTAATAAACTTATTTCTTGTTTATAATATAACCCAGTTTATGTAATTTCTAACTGGATGGGGGACAAGAAGTTGTGCATATCTCCCTCCACATTACTCATACCAATATCCCTTTTAAGATTCCTAAATTTTACTTTATATGTTTCAGGGGTAATCTGAAAACTTTGCAAAACAGTATCTTCAAATTTACAGTAGTCGAAAGCATCTTCAATAGGCATTCCATTGAATACATTTTGAGCTTTACCAGTTAATTTCACAGTCAGGGTAGGAACTCTCTTATCAGGGATTTCATGTATTACACACAGCCTTTCGAAGGTAGTCAGTTATTCAGCAATATCATCGTCCTCGCTCTATGCAGGACATAAGTGTTCCCATTTTTGGATTTTTGGAGTGATGGGTGGGGTAGGGGGCCTCTGGTTCTGCTTCTCTAGCAGGTCCAGTTGGTGTTTTCACTCTCTTTTTCTTCTCACTCTCTTTTTCTTTTATCTCCAGTTCTTTCCATTGCAATAATCTCTGGTGCTCCCTCTCCTTTTCTGCAGACTGCAGCCTGAAAAGCTCCAACTTCGCAGTTGCTTCACTGCTTTCACTCATTTTCCTGCTCTTCTGTGCCTACTTCTCTTTCCCAAAATAAGCAAACAGAAAATAACAAAACTGTGACCTCCTCCTGACAGTTCTTAGCCACTGCACTTAAGACTCACTTAAAATCACAAATATCAGTGCTTAAAGTGTGAACTCCACTTGGAGTGAGTAACAAGCTGCACATACACCCTGCTCGCTGCGCCACTGTGATGTTCCCCTCTGGTGTTATCTGGACTGGTGAGCTGCTAGGCCACTCCAATCCTTGACTCTGGGAGCCAGCCTTACCCTGCTCTGCTGTGAGAACCCCCACTCCTGGGCTGTTCACGCACAGCCCCTGGCATGTAAGCTGCTCCTTGGATTGTGCAACTGAATGACACTAGCCAATATCTCCGGTCCCAGACACAACCCTAGGAACCTCTGTCTTGCAGTGTCCAGTTATGCCCGCTGGACGCTGCAAGCTTATATGAGTTGGTCAGTTTAACAAAGAAATTGATATGTACCAGGCTTGTTATCCCACGGGGAGCCTCTGACACACTTCAAACCAAACGCACTGCTTCAGGTAGAATAAACAAACACATTTATTAACTATGAAAAATAGATTTTAAGTGATTATAAGTCAAAGCATAAGTCGGATTTGGTCAAATGAAATAAAAGCAAAACACATTCTAAGCTGATCTTAACACTTTCACTACCCTTACAAACTTAGATGCTTCTCACCACAGGCTGGCTGGTTGCTCTTCAGCCAGGCTCTCTCCTTTGATCAGTGCTTCAGTCGCTTGGTGTGGTGTCCGTAGATGTAGGTGGAAGAGAGAGGAAGAGCGTGTCAAACGTCTCTCCCTTTTATCATATTCTTTCTTCCTTCTTGGCTTTGCCCCCGCCCTCCCTCCAGAGTCAGGTGAGCATTACCTCATCACAGTCCCAAACTGGCCAAAGGAAGGGGGGTGATTCACTTGAGAGTCCAACAGATCCTTTTGTTGCTGTCTAGGCCTACGTCCTTTGTTCCTGTGAGGCTGGGCTGGGTTTGTCCCGTACCTGCCCTGATGAGGTGTGAACTGCCTCTTTGCTCTTGGAGAGTTTTTGCTTGGGCTTATTTTAAACCATGAGGACACATTTTCAGCCTCATAACTACATACATGAAATTATAACTTATAATATTACTGTAACAACAATGCTCAGTGCATCATGAGCCTTCCGAAGACAGCCGGCATGACAAACTTTGCATTAGATACCACACAATCATTTTACAAGGATGAACATGGGGATGCTGGGTGTTCCCCCAAGGTACAGAGCGTCACAGGGGGTGTGGGTGCAGAGGGCTCACAGGGGATGGTCTAGGTGCAGAGGTGGGGGACTTGGTGGGGGAGTCGGGGTGCAAGGAATCTGGATTCGGGGTGGGGCTCATGGGTAGGAGGTCTGGTTGGTAGGGGGGATCTGGATGCATGGGGTTGGGTGGATTGGGGGGCAGCTCCCCATACAGTGACTCCTCCCCCCACAAGTGGGGAGCAATGGGGACAGGAAGCAAGGGGTGTGTGGAACTTCCTGCAGCCAGGGGAGGTTCCTGGGGGTGGATCTGACCCAGTCCCAGCCTGTGCAGGGGAAGAGGAAGTCCCGTATCAGCCCACCCCACCCCACCCAGAACTAGCAGCTGGAGCCTGGCACGTGATAGGAGCTACTGGCTGGGGCATCACCAGGCCTGCCCTTCCCTGGCTCTGGGTGCACTGCAAATAGCAAGTGAGAGGGACAGAGTCTGACATGCATGCCTATCCCCACCCCCCGATGGTGATTTATGTCTCCCCCAGTTGCTCCCGACACCTGAACCAGATGTGCCCGCTCGAGACTGCTGCCTGGGAGGGCCGAGTGAATCAATTATTCTGTGGGGAAAGAGTAAAATATGCGGGGGACATTAAATTATGCGCTTATGCAGTGGTGCAGAATTCCCACAAGAGTAAACACTGAACTATTGGAAGTTACTGACTAAGCACCTGAGAGCAGAGTTTGTTGAAGTGCTAAACCAGCTTTTAATAGCAGTAGCCTGTTCAGCAGGTGCAGTGTGTTTTCTCTTCATTTCAGCTGGTTTAGTTCAATGACCAGTTAATTCAAAATTAAGAAACCACTTGGGAGTTGAAAAAGTAGGGAAGCTTGTTTTACTCTTCCAATCTATGAATAAAAGCTAGGTGTGAAAGGATGAAATCTTGTAGTTCTAAAATCTGGAAGGACAAGGTTACCATAAACAATCAGTTCAACTCCAGATAATACTTCCTATGTTTAATAAATCAGTTTTAAATGCAAACATGTCTAATAAACTTTTTTCTTATGGATCCAGCACCGTTAAGGTTTTATTTAATAAAAACAGATTTAATTGAATTCCAATTTATATCCAAATGCAGCTTGACATTAATTTTTCACTTTTGATTTATCATCATCTAGTAAATAAGTAAGGCACTGTTCACCATTTTTAACAATAAAAAAAATGGAAAAATTAAGAATCTAAATAAATGTAAGTTATATAATTTTTAAACAAATGTGTATAGATATAATGTATCCTCCTAGCCAGCAAAAACAAATATGAAAGTTATTGTTAGGGCTATATTTAGAGGTAAATCAACATGTTTGAGTGTTTACCAACTAACAAGAAATCAACCTTTCTTTAGGAAAATAACAAAAAAGCAAAAATTCAAAACACAATTAAAGTAGATTATTTAAATCAAGGTTTCCTGCTTCTTGATTTAAATCATGATTAAAATCAGCAATTTAAATTGCATTGATTTAAATCAGTCCACCCTGAGCATTATGAAGTGAGGTTTGTGCATTCATTTCCCAGCAGAGAGGTGTTGAAAAACGCCATTACTTGTTGGCAGTTGAATCAGAGAAGCCAGCTTATAAACTGGCATGTGGAGCCAAACTGTCTCACCAGTGGGCATGGGCCTTTCAATCAGGGTTTTGGTATATTGGTAAGACAATGGGCCAGATTCACTGAAGCTGAAGAAAGCGATGTGTAAATTAGACCCCTCATAGTCAGATTCTTTTAGAGTTTTGCGCACACACACTACCTATGTCTAAGGGAGTTGGTGTGATTTATACCTGGAGGAGCTGGAAGATGATGTAAATTAAAGTAGTGTGGGGGGCTAATTTGATTTACACATTCTTCTAGCTTCTCAGCAGGTAAATTATGCTTACATAGACTTCCTTGGGCATAGGTAGACCACATGTTAGTAGCTCTACAGGTGTCTGTTAGTGTGGAGGAATCTAATTTAGGCAACACCTCTGAATTTGGAAATATGAGTCAAAGAGAATCTAAATAACCCTAAAAGGAGTCTTAATTTGGCATAACAGACACATTGAAGGAAGAAAGTGTAAGCAACACCAAGGTAGGTTCCCACTTTTTCATACTCACTTAGGGTATCTCTACTTCGGGATAAAAATCCCGCAACTGGCCCAGGTCACCTGACTTGGGCTCACGGGGCTCTGTGTAGACATTTGGGCTTGGACTGGAGCCCATTTTTAGCCCCACAGCTTGAGCCCCAC